CGTTCCAAACATTTCACCCACGAACAGGGTTGGGGGAGGGGGTTGGGGGGGTGCCATATGGGCACATTCTCCCTGCTGTCACCCACAGCTCGGGGGAGTGGTTGGCGCCAATGCTCCCTCTAAGCCGTGGAGTCCTGTGAGCAAAAATTCTACTTTGTGAGCGACTGGCATTAAACCTGTGAGCGAGCGATTTGGCTACCGCATAAATCAGTTTGCTTTGGAGCCCTCCTTCCTGAACTAAGACAAAAATGTGTGAGCCGGAGGCTAAAAAACTGTGAGCTAGCTCACACTAACTCAGCACAGAGGGAACATTGGTTGGTGCATCCTTTGCAAGTAAGCAAAGCTAATGGGCGTAACCTGGTCCTTTCATGGGGGCAGCCCAGGAACCCACCCTTGCCTGCCCTTTGACCCAAGTCCTAGCGGCTCAGGCAGAAAGCAGTGTAGCTTGATCCCAGCCATTAATGATAGTTAGCCATGTCGGTCTGCAATAGAACTCTAGATTCGAGTCCAGTAGCACCTTGGAGGACAACAAGATTCGGGGAGGGGGAGTAGGGTTGCCAGCTCCGGGTTGGGAAATACCTGGAGATTAGGGGGGTGGAGCCTGAGGAGGGTGGGGTTAGGGGCGGAGCTTCAGTGGGGGTATAATGCCATAGGGTCCACTTCCAAAGCAGCTATTTTCTCCAGGTGAAATGATCTCTGTCGCCTGGAGATCAGTTGTAAGAAAAAGAAGGAGAAGAGATTGGATTTATACCCCGCCCTTCACTCGGAGTCTCAGAGCGGCTTACAGTCTCCTTTCCCTTCCCCTCCCTACAACAGACACCCTGTGAGGTAGGTGGGGCGGAGAGAGCTCTTTCGAGGACTGCTCTTGAGAGAACAGCTCCGAGAGAACTGTGACTGACCCAAGGTCACCCAGCAGCTGCATGCAGAGGAGTGGGGAATCAAACCAGGGTAGAGTCCCCGCCGCTCTTAACCGCTACACCAGATCTCCAGCCACCGTCCGGAGGATGGCAACCCCGGGTATAAACTCTTGAGAGCCGAAGCTCCCTTCATCGGATACAACGTATCCGATGGAGGGGAGTTTGACTCTCAAACGTTCATACCCCCGGATTTCGCTGGTCTCTAAGGTGCCGCTGGCCTCAAAGCCTAGCTGTTCACCATTAATGAGTACATTTATCCTTAAAAAGGTGCGTGCAGCGTTTTTTATATATATGCTTTGTAAGCATATATATATGCTTACAAAGAAAAGCAGAAGGAACAAAAAAGGAGGAGGGGCCTGCACACAAACAGGGGGAGAGGCGCCCCCCCCCCCTGGCCGCTTCTAGCTTCATGGTGAGCTTTATCTTGCTTTGCCAGCTATATTTTCCCTCTGTGTGCGTGTCACGGCGCATTCATAATTGTCCTGTTTATTCCATTTGATGAGCCATTTCTTTCGGTATCAAGGAAAGCAAACCGCCGTGGCCTTTCTCGATAAGCCCCCGATGCCATAAATTGAAATGTGAGGCAGCGTTGATATAATCCATCAGGAGCAAAAGAAAGAAAGCTTTTAAACTTAAACGAACCTGTTGCCAGCGAAGCCAGGTGAGCGCTTACTTAGGGTAGAAACGCACCGTCATCTCGGCAAATGTGTGTTCCCTAATCCGATGTCTGCAGCAGGCGATGGTGGGGTGGCTTAGCGTCCTGCAAAGGGAAATGAGCTCTGATCTGGGAGTCCCCCGGTCCGAATCGTGCCTCTGCCAGGGACTCACCAGGCGGCCTTTGACAAACTGCTCTCTCACCTTCAGCCCTTCCATCTGTCTTATGAGGATAATGTATTGCAAGGATTGCATATGCAGGATTATTATGAACACCAGAAGTTCTATTAAAATGGGTATGATGACGAGGATGATGATGATGAAGAATTGTCACAGTCAGATCTTTAACTAATAGTCGGTGTACTGCCATTTGACGTCTAGCCAAGTTCTTGGGAATTGCAAATGTGTCTTCACAGGATTCTTGCTGTTCCGAGCCACACTGGAGCGGAGCCGGTGTTATTTTTCACTGCCCAGAAGGTCCAGATGTTTCTTGAGACTTCTAGGCACTGCTCCAAGGGCTCCGATGAAAGCTGGCACGATGGTTACATCCTTCTCTCAGAGGCGCTCTAACTCTGTTTCTTCCTCTTCCTCTTCTTCCTCCTCCTCCTCCTCCTCATGCAGGTTTCCACCCAGCCCTGCTTGCCTCTGGTTTCAGAGTCCAAAATGGGAGGGGCTTAAGAAGATTCAGAGGTGTTTGCAGGAGAGAATCTGCAGATGGAGGCAGGATTAAGTTACTCCCCCCCTGTATAGGATTCTGCCCCCCAGGCCAGTCCAGGGATGAGGGGAAAACACTACAGTGGCTCAATACATTACACAATAACCCAGAGAGGTAGGCTCTCTGGATTTCAGAACAATAGCCACCAGACAGAACACACTAGCACCTCCTCAGAGATGCACACTTAATACTCAATGGTAGTGTGTAGCCAGTTAGGCTGCAAGATTTAGGCTTAGAATTCAGTTACAACAATACAGACAAGTTATAAACCAGAATAAGTTTATTCAGTCAGAGCTTTGCATAGACTAGAAGGATTTCAAAATAAGAAAACTTATGGCTCTTGGCCCTCACTGAACATTAAAGAGATATGCATAGTACCAGAATGATCCATAGTCAAGAATGTCCAAGTATACAGTCCAATTAGATCCCAAGGGATCCTCAGTAGAAACTCCATTTTGTGCAAGCATGCAGCCATGTGCTTAGCTCGCAAAGGAGGTCGTTGTTCCACATGGGACAGCATTTCCCAGGTGCAATTCAACCAAGTAGAGAGAGCAAGAAAATCTGAGCTCTCTTCCAAGGGGTCAGACAATTAAAAACCCCAATCTAGTCACAATCAGCTGTGGCCATCAGCCAGTCACAAGTAGACAGGGAATGTGGTCAATTGGTGGGTTGCCATAGTTGCAAACATATGAATGGCTGGGCCTCTAGAGGCCACACCCGCAGTCACATGGCCCCCCAAACCTCATTGCATACGTGTGTCTTTGCCTGTTTGCTAGGGCCATCTGGTCTCTGTCAGCATGGAAGTGTGAAGAATGTGGGGTCATATGGCAGGGCTATTGAGGCCATTTGGCTTCAACAGGAACAAGGCACAGCATGGTATCAGCAAGACATTCCAGGGGAAGGCATGAAACCTTTAGAAATCAATATTTCTATACACCCCCCCACCTTTGACTGCCAGTTTCCCTCTGCAAATGCCTTCCTGGACCCTGCATTAGCACCACTTGGGCAAGAGGCGGCAGGCAGACTCATGTTTCCCTTGTAACGCGCACTTCCGTCCTTAGTTAAGGCTGTAAGGGTGACCTTTAGAAGCACTGTGTTTTCGAGAGCTAATAAAAAAAATTATTCTCCCCCCCCTTTTTAAAATTTGGCTTTTAAACACTAGTCGGGATACTATGAATTATGAATGAAAGGGATGCACGGATCATTACCTTTCCCCTGCGGCCTCTCCTCCTCCCCCTAAACCGTACTGATGTCCTCAGGAACAAAGTGGGCATGCGGCATGGAGAGCCACGGCGAAGTTGGGAGAAGTGGCAGAAATCACCCACTCCGTCCTGGCTTCCAATCTGGTTGGCTCGCCGAAGACCCTGAACGCAAGGGGTGATTTTGGCCAGCCTCCCCTTAACCTGCCACCTTTCCCACTGCGCTCTCTTCCTTTCCTGACCGCTTCTCAGCTTAGAAGCACTGTGTTTTCGAGAGCTAATAAAAAAAATTATTCTCCCCCCCCTTTTTAAAATTTGGCTTTTAAACACTAGTCGGGATACTATGAATTATGAATTATAGGGATGCACGGATCGTTACCTTTCCCCTGCGGCCTCTCCTCCTCCCCCTAAACCGTACTGCTGTCCTCAGGAACGAAGTGGGGATGCGGCATGGAGAGCGGCGGCAAAGCTGGGAGAAGTGGCAGAAATCACCCCCTCCGCCCTGGCTTCCAATCTGGTTGGCTCGCCGAAGAGCCTGAACGCAAGGGGTGATTTTGGCCAGCCTTCCCTTAACCTGCCACCTTTTCCACTGCACTCTCTTCCTTTCCTGACTGCTTCTCAGCTCTCTGAATCTTGAGGGGCAGCTCTTGTTGGACAGGGAGGAAGGAGAAATCGCAGGGAGGAAGGAGGAGGTGCAGAGATCCATCCCTGTTCATAGGGTATTTACCCATAAGTAACTATAGCTGTTGGGGCTGCGGTGGCTCAAGTGGTTAAGACGCTGACCTGCATACCGGAAGGTCGGTAGTTCAGCAGTTCGAAACCCGAGTGCCACATGATGGAGTGAGCTCCTGCCTCCGGCCCCAGCTCCTGCCAACCTAGCAGTTCAAAAGCAAGAAATTGCAAGTAGATAAATAGGTACCACTTCAGTGGGAAGGTAACAGCGTTCCGTGCGCCTCGGCGTCTAGTCATGCTGGCCACATGATCACGGAAACATCTTTGAACAGCGCTGGCTCTTCGGCTTGGAAACGGAGATGAGCACCGCATCCCTAGAGTCGGACTCGACTGGCTTTCGAGCAAGGGAAACCTTTACCTTTACCTAACTATAGAAGATCCTGATGCTGGGAAAGATTGAAGGTCAAAGAAGACGGGGACGGCAAAGGATGAGATGGTTAGGCAGTGTCATAGAGGCAACGGACATGAAATTGAGCAAACTTCAGAGGACAGCGGAAGACAGGAAGGCCTGGCGTGATCTGGTCCATGGGGTGGCAAAGAGTCAGACTCGACTGTACGACTGAACAACAAAAAACTATAGATGAAATCAGTATCAAGTACTACAATGCCAAGACCACAGCCATACAGCCCAGAAAATCTACAACAACTAATGAACTCCAGCCGTGAAAGTCTTCGACAACATATTAAAATCACTGTCATTCAGTTGCACGTAAAATAGGGCATGTACATTGTAGTTATTTTTGATAATTTGTGTGTGTGTGTGTGTGTGTGTTCTTCTCGTAGGAGCTACAAAGATAGTCCCAGTGGAGGCTGCTTCTCCGGAAACCGAACCAGCAGCCAATCTGGAGACGTCAGCGTTGGACTCGTCGCAGCGCAGAGGGTATCAGGAATATGCCATTCAACAAACCCCCTATGAGCAACCTATGAAATCCAGCAGGTAACAGAGTTTGGGGGGGAGGATTTCAATTCCACCGACTTGCACCACCAAAAACAGCTGACGTGAATGGGGCAGCAGAAAGACCCAGGTGGTCAGCCGTGTTGGTCTGAAGCCGTAGAACAAATTTAGAGTCCTGTGGGGCACCTTTAAGACCAACAAAGGTTTATTCAAGGTCTGAGCTTTTGTGTGCAAGGCACACTTTTTCAAATACATCGGAATGGCAGATGAGGTTCTAAACTTATAGCCAGGAATTTAACAGCAAATTAACATGTAACATGATGATGTTTAAGTTATGCAAAGTGAAAAACTAAATAACAAGTTAAGGTTATAAGGGCAACAGTTGGAAAGCAATAAATATGTCAAAATAGCAGATAAATGTCTAAAGGTATTCTTGCGGTTTTCAAAATATATTCTGATACTCCAGGATGCAAAGGCTTGGGTCGTTTAGTGTGAGTTCGGCATCTCTTACCAACCACCTCCCAGTGGAATCTGTTGCTTCCTTAGAGAGGCTGGGCAACAATTAAGCACCAGGATTGTCATCCTCTGGAATATCCCTCAAGCATCTGTTTTCAAAACTAGCTAATGGACTACACTGTGCATCGGGGGCAGCTGGGTTAAGTTCATCTTGCATAATTTTTCAAAAGATAAGAACATAAGAATATAAGAGCCGCCAATGTTGGATCAGGCCAAAGGCCCATCCAGTCCAACACTCT